TCCTCAGACTAGTACCTGTGAAAGGAGCCTCTGGGGTCACATTAGGCTTATGACCAAAGATATGCTTCCTCCTCCCTACATCAGACAACACAAGAGAACAGAAAGAATCCTTCTGCTGAGTAGTAAGATAGGAAAGTAAGTGCAGGATTTTGTCTTGGAACTCACTTCAAGGCTGGTAAAATGCGACATCTGGCAGATTTCAGTGGGTGCTGGTCTCAGGGCAGTGCCCACGGTGGAACCTCTGGACCTGCCCTGGTGCCAGGTAGAGCCCCCCACTCTTGTGGGACTTCTATTTTGGGTGGTATTACCTCTGGCTGACTGCACCAGTCTTAGGTCACAAGTACATAAGGGCATGCAGGCCATAGGAACATAGGTCTTGATCCTTCCTCTGTCCTGTGCCAGTCTTGGTGGGCTGTGGGCTCCATGCACAACCTAATGTTATAGTAGCAAGAAAGGATCCTTGGGAGAAAGCTGGTCAAGAAAATGGGAGTTTTCTTGGAACTGAGAGTTTCCAGTTTTGCCAATCAATCACCTAGTCATAAGACCACAAGGATCCCTGGGAGAAAGTTGGTCAAGAGAATGGGAGTTCTCTTGGAATGGGAGTTTCCAGTTTTGCCAGATCAATCACCTAGTCACAAGACCACCCCTAAGAAGGTGGGTTCACCTTAAGACATGCTAAAAAGATAGGTGGAATACCTAGTGCATTAATGAGGTGATGAACTCTTCATGCCTGGAATCCCCTCCTGTTAGTGCCAAGCTCATGGACCAGGCCACAGACCTGTAGCTCTTCATAAGTCTGCTTGCCTTTGTATCCTCTCTTCTTCTATTTCTTTTCTACTCATGCTTTCCCTAACACTCCGGGCTGCCCCAACCCTTTGGGTTTCATTACTTCTTCTCTAAAGCTCTCCTCCTCTCCCCACTGATGCCACCTACGGGTCTTTTCTCTAAAGTAACATTCCACAGGGCATACAAAAAGACAGAGCCCCCAGGAGGGGAAGGATCTAGAGCAGGAGCACAGTCTACCTCCTTGGAGAACCTAGGCTTTTATATTCTATAGGGTAGGAGATGGGACTGAGTTGGGGTCTTCTTCCCCCTTTGGATTGGACAGGGAAGGATGCATATTGCTGGTTGGTCCACTCACATGAAAGCCAGAACCTGTCTGGGTAAAGCAAGGGCAGGAAGTTTGAAATTCTCACCAGAGAGAATCTGGGGTGGGGGAACCTGTCAAAATGGCCAACTTTGGACAAGAACCCAGGAAAGGCCCACCTTGGATGAAAATGAAAGTGACTGGAACTCAGCTAAATCTGGCAGAAGCCTCCTTCCCTGACTACTGCCTAATTTAGAATTGACTCTCCTCCTTCACCACTGTGCAGTTGTTGGTTCACCAGTGTCTGACCTCCATGTCGGCTCTAAATGGGCACGGTTTTGTGGCATTTTTCCTTCTCCCCTCCAGTCTCCTCCTCAGGGCAGCTGCTGAGATTTACAGTTCACTTGCCCTGAGAAGTTTTTTAAACTCTAATAAAATTGTCATAAAGTTTCTGTTAGAGTGCATTCTAAATTCTTTTATGAATGAAACATAACTCTAGAAGGGGACCCCAAACACTTCAGAGCTGGTGGCTATGGGACTGTATACCTCTTCCCTCCCCCAACTCCAGTCAGTATAACATGGAAAGAGTCATTGTCTGCTTGGGAGAAAAAGAGGAAGAAGGTAGGCACAGCCATCGCTTAAGAGCCTAGGGCTGGTCCCTGCATGACGAAGCCCAGTGCTAGACAGAATCCTGTGTAACTGACCACAGACCAGTCACTGTGAAATAGGCAACTGGGCCAGCTTAGGTCCCAGACAGAGGTTTGCTCTGGCCTAAGTGTGTAGACACACACATGGCATAGATACACACACACACACACACACACACACACACACACACACACACAAATAAAATCTTTTTTAAAAGTTGAATTCAGAGCAACAGAAAGCAGTTTAGTTGTTGGGGATTAAGGGAGGTAGAAAGGCAAAATATGGAAGAATTAGGGGAAAAAAGGCAGGGTAGGATAAGACAGAAAAGACCATTGGGTTTGGAATAAAAACGTTTTATTGCTTATCTGCAAAGCAGTTAAATGGGATGAGGATAGTGGTTCACTTGAAAAGGAGATGAGATAAGCAGAGAAGATTCCTAGGTGGGAGCACACACTTCTTGATAAATGTGGTAAATGGGGAAAAGGCAAACAGCCATTAAACGTGCAGCCAGTTTAAATAGGAGGTTTCTGCAGTCTCTGATTTACATATATGAAGCAAGCAGCAAAGTGTTAGTATTAGGTAAGGAAAGATTTTTTTTTTCTGTACTCTTTGTGTTCTCCTACAGGTCTGCCCCTGTGAGTTCACCTTCTGCTGCTTTCCTCTCACTACCACCACCGGCTCTTAGCAAGATCTCTTCTTGTCCAGCTTTATCTCGGTATAATTGACACATAAAAACTGTACATATTTAGAGTATAACACAGTGTTGCATATATTAGTGTATTAGTTGTCTGTTTCTAATAACATACCACAGACTAGGTAATTTTTTTTAAATGAGTTTATTTTGGCTCATAGATCTTGAGGGCCAAGGCTGAGGGCCTCATCTGCTGATAGCCTTCTTGGCAATCAAGTCCCAAGGCTGTGCTAGGTGTCATAAGATCTCAATGTGTATTGTGTCCCTTCTGGTCCCTCATCCTCTTCTTACATATCCACCAGGATTCAATTAGGAGAGCTCCATTCTAATGACTATGTCTAAATCCTAATCTCCTCCCAAAGGCCTCACTTCTAAACACAATAATCAAGTTGAATTTCTACACTCAATATCTCACAATGGGGAATCAATTTTAACACAGGAAGCCTCGAGGGAAACACACTCAAAGCATATTTCAGCCATAGCAATTACGATTATCACAATCAAATTAATTTATGCAATATATCCACTACTTCATAAAGTTATTATTTGTGTGTGTGGTGAGAATGTTTAAGACCTACTCTCTTAGCAAATATAAAGTACAAAACATCATTAAGAGATTTTTGCACACACAAAATAATAGATTTGATAAATTCTTACATTATCAAAACAAATTAGCCTTGATGATTATCAATACTAGTGAGTAAAATAACACAATAAAATTGATTTTATATATGTGATTTGGGGTACTTAAGAAAATGCTTAAAGTCTGTTTCTCATTTAAATAACCTTAGGATGTGGTGACAAAGCAAGGATTGAGATTATTGAGGATAATAAAAACACTTTCACTAGAAACATACAAAATCAAGAAATATAACTCAGTGCTAGAGGGCACATGCAAGCAGATGTCCCTGGGTCCAACCCCCATCACCAACAAATGAAAAGTCTGAAGTAATTTGGGGGATTCTTTTTTTTTTTTTTTTTTTTCTGTACTTTCTCTTTGGATATCCAAAGTCTAAGAGTGTAAATTAACTAGGGGCAGTATTTTTAGAGAGAAGATTGAATTTATACTTTTTTAATACGAAAGTCTCAAAATTTGCTTTTAAGAAGTTTGAAAACTGCCAAATTCAAAATTGTATTTTGAATGTGTGTCTTTTTGTGTTAAAGTTAATATCCATTTTATTGCTGAGCTCCAAAACCGGTTTTATGTTACTAGGAGTCATTAAAGAACACTTGTTTGTCTTTTGGCGCTCTCTCTTTTTTAAACATTTTATTTTTATTTTATGTGTATGGGTGCATTGCCTGCATGTAAGTGTACCTGTCGTGCAATGCCCGCTGAGGTCAGAAAAAGGCTGCGGATCCCCTGGAACTGGAGTTAAGGACGGTTATTAGCCGCCAGTGAGCACTGGGATCAGAACCCCGGTCCTCTGCAACCGCATCCACTGCTCTGTTTTTGACTCCAGCGCGGCTTTAGGGTTTTGACTCTTCCATCCCGGGAAGGCGTGATTACTGCAGCCCAAGTCTCGTTGAAACTGAAACGAGATCTTCAGCGATCTCGGCGCAGTGTCACGCGATCTGCTGCTAGCCTCACGGGGTCTCCCCAGGCGGCCCCCAGGGGCTGGGATCCTCACGCTGCGAGTGGCGTCTCGAAGCCTCGAGTTTGGGACACAAAATGAGCGGCGATCTGGAGGGCCTGTTAGGTCGGCTGCTGGTGGGAGGGGCGCGCTGCGGGCCCCCGGTGGGCGCTAGCGGGTCTGCGCAGACCTTGGCGGTGGCCAGCGCCGAGGCCTGCGCTTCCCGCACAGTGGGCGCCTCCTTAAGCGCCTCCCGCATGTGGCGCTGAGGCCTGAGGCCTGGTTTCCGGCAGGGGGCGGAACGGCCGAGGGAAGCACAGGGGCGCATGAATTCTCCCCTCAAATGTGGGAGTCGGACGTGCGAACCCACCCCGGGTGTTCGCGGGTGTGAGGTGTCCAGCTTTTGAGGGCTTCTGGGCAGATTTCCTATCATCCAAGGGTCTCTAGGGATCCCGGGTCCTGAGGGCCTTTCGTTCAGGAAGCCGCTGGGGTCGTTGACATGTTCAAGGGCTTTTTGAGAAATCTGGGCTCTGGGTTCTAGTCAGTCAAAGACTTCGCGAAACACCACATGTAGAGCGGTGCAAAGGGGGCTGGAGAGAAGGTTTGGGGTAGAGAGCACTGACCCCTCTTGCAGAGGCCCTGGGTTTGATTCCCAACACCCACATGGAGGCTAATCATCCCTAACTCTAGTTCCAGGGGATCTGACATCCTCTTCTGACCTGTGCGGGCACTGCACAACACAGTGCACTTTCCATGCAGATGAAACACTAATACACATGAACTAAAATTAATAAAAATTTTAAAGCATTGCAGACAACCCTTTCCCAGAGTTTCACTCGTCCATTGCCTGTTGGGTGCCCACTCAGTGACTCATCAGGCCTCCCCACGGCTTAACCCACCCACCTTATTTGGGGAAGAATGTTGTCCTTAAAAGGTTCTTCATATGTTGTGTTTTTCACATGACTTCTGACAGTTTTATTGTTTATTATTTTACACAGCATCCATGAAGACTGACAACCTGTTTGACAGTTTGGACAAACTTTTGATAGAAATTGGTAGGTATAAAATGAAAATAGATACTTACTTTTATTATCATTTGACATTTTAACTGTGAAGTAAAATCACAAAACAATGTTTATTTTAGTTTTCCAGTATGAACAAGACATAAGTACTAAAGAAGACACGTTTCAAAGAATTCATAGTAAGTGGTTTTGAATGATATATTTTAGTCTTTTTTATGGCATAGAGCATAATTCATAATTGTCCTACTTAGGGAAACTTACAGATTGTTTTTGTATTTTAAATTGGATTTTGCAAATTTCATACAATATATTGTGATAATATTTAGACCCCCTCTCCTACCACCCCTTTACCACTATCCCTCAAATTTCATGCACTGAATTATAAATAATATATATGTTTATATATATATTTAAAGGCCTTTTGAATCAAACATCTATCCCTAAGTATCCATCCACTGGAGCCTGCTTAACCTACCCTTAAAGAAGATTGACTCTCCCCCTCCCAGAAGCTAACTAACAGGTTGCCAGTAGTTCCTTAGCTAGGTTTGGGGTTTCCTGTTCACTTTCCCACTTCTGTGCTGGGATTTTGTCTGCCTTGAGCCTAAGTGGGACTTTTGCAGGCTCTCATCATTGCTGTGAGTTCATATGAGTAGATGTCAAGCTGTCTGGAAAACTGTTTCTTTGTGGTCATCCACCCAGTCTGAATTTTACAGTCTTTCTACCCCCCCGCCCCCCAAGGCTCAGGATTTTGCAAAGATCCCTGAGCCTTGGAAAGTTTGCTGTCAATGTCCCATTCAGGGATAAGCAGGCTACAGTCTCTTGTTCTCTAACCATTGGCTAGTTGTGGGTCTCTGTGTTAATCACCACCTGCTTTCTAGGAAGCTTCTCTGGTTCTGGTGAGAGTTGAAAGATCCATTAATCTATGAGTCATTAGGAGTTGGTTTAATACTGTCTGTTTAGCAGAATATTAGTAGGCTTTCCTCAGTGGCCTGTGACCTGTATAGCCACAGGTTCTTAAGCCTAATATCAGTGGTAGGAATGGTCTCCATCTTGTGAAGTGGACCTCAAATTCAATCAGAAAGTGGTTGGTTACTGCTGTAACATTCATGCCACCATTGCACTAGAGGGCATATCTTGCAAGGCCAGTTGTAGTTTACAGTAGTCACAGCTGGACAAGGTTGATGTTTGTTCTGTTGAGTAACAATGAACTCTTTGGCTTAGGCATAATAATTGTGACTTGCCTTATTTTTTAACAAACTTTTGTATACAACATTCAGTTATTTTGTGAAGAATTCCTTTTCAGAAATGATCCACTGTATACAGCTCAAAGATGTTATTTTTGACAAATAATTTGGTTATTTCAAATATTTGAATTTTTCCTCTAGAAAATCACCAAATCACCAAATGTGGCAAGTGACACATTTTCAGGAATAATAATCCTGAAAAATAATATGAGTAAAATGACAGGGTAAATTAAATAAATGAATATTTTAAGTTATTAAATGTTTTAAATCTAATTTTAGTTCTAAAAGTAGAACTGTTAACTTTTTAGTATTATAGTTCTTTAAACAAAATTTTTACAAATTAAAAAATTTTAACTTATTTTTATTTTTGTGTGTTATGCCTGCATGTAAATACACCTATGCATGCATAATATGTGGCGGCCAGAGGAGAAATTGGATTCTCTGAAACTAGAGTTACTGATGATTGTTAGCCTCCATGTCAGTGCTGGGAATTGAACCTGGGTCCTCTGCAAGAGCAGCCAGTGCCTGTATTTATTTTTGAATTTGTGATTTCTACTTTAATAAAACATTTTCCCCTTTTTAGAATGCCTTCAAAGTATTAAAGAAGACAAAACAAGTATTTATAATATATATGAAGCTATAAATAAAGCAGAAGAGGAAATTGCTTATTACTATGAATATAGTAAAGAGATCAAAGACAACTGTAGTAAGTAAGTATTTGAAAGAAGTGAACTTTCTGTAACTGTCATTTGTTTTACTCAAGGTGTCTGAGTTTATAGTGGAAAATGTTGTTGAGCTCAGAATGTAGCTCAGTGGTAGACCACCTCCCTAACATGTGTAAAGCTTCTGCTTTGATCACCAAAACTAACAAAGAAACAAATAAGCAAGCAAAAGTCTTATTTTAAAGTAACAGTGTTTTCTCTGACCCCTTCTCCTTCCTCCTCTTCCTCTTCTTTTTCCTTTCTCTCCTTCCCACTCCTCTTCTTTTCTCCTTCCTCTCATTCTGCTGGGAATTCAATCAAGGGCATTGTGCATGCTTCCCTACTACTGAACTATATCCCAATTCCCAAGATAGTATCCATACGAGTGAAATAATCAAGCCAAATTGCCTGGTTACATGCCACTGTAGAAGGATTTACAGGAGATTTGGAAGAAAAACAGAAATAAGGGTTGTAGAAGCTTACTAATTCAAATCTAGTTAGTATAAATACGGAATTTTGTGAACAAGGAGTGGTGGCTCGTCCTTATAATCCTAACGTTTGGGAGATGGAGGCAGAAGGATCAGACAGGGTCAGTCTCTGCTACATAGAGTTTGAGGTAAGGGTGTGATATATAAGACCCTATCTATAACTAATTAATTATAAATTTATATTGAGTATGTGGGTGCTGGGATTCGAATCTGGGTCTTCTGCAAGAACAGTCAGTGTTCTTAACTGCTGAGTCATCTCTCCAGCCCCTCTTATGGAATTTTTAAATGCTCAGAATGCACGTATAATCTTTGTGCTTCTAATTCCATTCTGAGGGATATTTTCTAAGAAATGATCAGAAATCTAGATTCAATATTTAAGTACAAATTCCATTGAGTGAATCATAAAGGAGGATAAGTTGTCATATGTGACTCTGATCTCA